AATCACAACGTTAGGTCTTTTAGAAATATTGGTAAAATATTTCTAAGTCAGACTGAAATACAACCTGTCTGCCAGATGCTGCAATTTGTGAGCAGCAAATACACATTCTGAGTGCCAACCTTTAGCAAAGAGCATTTTTATGAGATTTAAATAAAAAACACTAAGTGTTAAAATTCAGTCATACGAAACCAACTGCACCCAGCAGACTGATACAACAAAGAAAAAAACATTGCGTTTTCTTTCCAGCATTTTGGTTTATAAGCATAACCTGGTTGTAACTTCTTGGGACTTCCTAAATGTTTCCTCGGTTTTCCTAGCAGTTCTTTTACAATATGTACTGAGAAATTGGATATGCTCTACATGTTGTATTAATTGTACGTAGAAGATTCTGCCACTATAAACTGGTTTTCACATATAGACTTTTCAGAAACACTGCTTTGCAGGAAAATACGCTGCCTACAAAGGCTTTTTTAATTTTTATTTAACTTTTAGGAAATTCTGATTCATAATATTTAGAGGTGTTTGTAAGCTTGATAGCTGCACATGACAAAGCCAAGCTTTGATAGCATGGAAACCATGAACAAAAATGTTTTGATCAGCTACAGAGTGTGTTAAATCATCAGTAGGATGTTTTCCAATTATTTTACAGAAATTGTACAGATTTGAAGTTAAGATGTTTAAATGCCATAAATCAATCATGCCAGCACCGTTTGTGCCACTCTAGTAAAGATTACATCAGTGTTTCCATTATAAAACCCCTATTTTTCAGGGGTTTCTAATTCAGCCATAAAAATTGGCTCCAGCCTAAAGCTTGGCAACCAAAGTTACCACTTGGGAGCAATTCTTTTAACCATTTTTTTTTTTTTTTAAATGGATTGGCCTTTCAAGCTACAAAATAGTTCAGAAAAAGAAAATTAGTGGTTTCAAATTTTGGTGAACTTCTATCCCTCAAAAACATTGTTTTAAAAACTGATAATTTTGTATGTCATAAATCTGTAATGTGGACTGCTGCTTTTGGGTAATTTGGATAGAAGCAGTGGATAAAATTCACCGGCTTATTTTGTTTAAAAATAAATGTAACTTCCCATGAAAACTTTTAATCCAATAAGATTTTCACAAACGACTTTCTCATGGCAAGATGTGGTAGACATTGCATAAGGAAGCCTTTATGACCCATTTATGCAGTATCTATTCCATTCATTTTAATTTCTGTGGTAAGAGGTAAGTAATACTGTATTTTGATGCCTTGAATCAAATCTGCCCATCTTCAAGACAACAATTCTGCCCTTTGGTAGCACAGATCCACCTGTGAACTTGACATGGGCCCTGACAAAGTTCTGTGTAAGCACAGAAAAAGAAGAAATACTTCAAAAGCAGCAAGGAAACAAAATTCCTTTAAAATGTATTTTGTTTAAAAATATATGTATGAAATACTGATTCTAAACCACTTTTAACAGCCTCAATTTTTCTCATGTACATTAATTTAAATTATAAGAATTATCAACTAGGTTTTAAACCTAGTTTAGTGCTAACACATTAAAAAGTCCTTCAGATGTTGGTTGATTTCAGTAAGAGACCTCCAATCAACAACACGAACGTAATTTGATCTTCAGGCTCCCTGAAGCTCTCTCACGAACACAGGCTCAGCAAAAGGGAATTACAAACCAAATCCCACCCACTGTCTATCAAAGTCAGCAAAACTCATCAACAGCCCCAATAGGCTTTGGCCTGAATCCCCCATGCAGTCTGAATTCCTAGTAGAATTTTTTCTGAACACACATTTAGGCAGTAAATTGGTTTGGAAAGCTGTTTCCAGAAGTTCCGAGAAGATTAACAGCTCATATGCTTTTTTTTGAAAAGTCATTTTAAATATATAATCATTGCTAAATTATAGCATTAGTTGCTTGAGGGGAGGATGTCTGGTTTATATTTAGCGTTTATGTCATCAGTGTCAATTTTTAATACTATACTTCTTGGCTTTTGTTAGTTTGCTGCAAAGCTGTATTTTCTTTTCTTCAAACAGCTATTTGCAATGAAAAAAACATTAGAGATATTTGCTCCCCTCCCCACACCATTTTGTGATATGTTAATACAATCTGTACCATGAAAGTTATCCCCTTCATATTTAGCAAGCTTTCAAAGAAACTATCTTTTGATTGCAAGAAAAAGAAAAATAGCGTTGAACATAAAGCACTTTGAGACTTTTTTTAACCCATCACACTATGTGTACAGAAACTCATAAATGTAAGAAGGCAACAGAGAAAAAGCCCAAAGAAAACAGAAAAGACTGATTCAATTAGTTACAGAGAAAATGCTACACATTACTTTTGGTGTTCCACTAGCAAATATTGTTATTATGTTTTCCTGTCTGTTTTGATATCAACTGATATTCTTTTGCATAAAAAACCCTGTACAGTACAATACCTACAACATGCACATGAATCTAAATACTTCACCTGAAAATTCAGTCTAGGAAGGCAAAATGTTGGGTGAGAACCAGAACAGACAATGGCACAGCTGGAAACTTACTTTAAAGTCGTTGCATTAGCCAAACAGAAATGACATGATAGGTAGCGCTGGTCTGTCATCATGCCATACTTCTGCAACAGCTTTGCAGCTCTCAAAGTCCAACCAGTTTGACCCTGAGAACATTTTAAGAATCTCCAAGGTACCTTCTAAGTGGTGCTGGCTGTGCAATAGGTGGCAGACTCCTCTCAATCACACATAAGCCCGTGACTCAAAGCACTATCTTTTAGTTGAGACGTCAAAGTTGTGCTCATTAATTTTTATTTTATTTTATTTTTTAATACTGCTAATCCTGGGTTCCCAGCCAAATTCAAAATCACAACTATATGATGTGTGATACCTACTAAAATTATCTCCAGAATTTCAACTGTAGGTGAATAACTGAGCTACCCTGTGGAGTAATAATCCTGCTCACCACTGCAGATATAAAAGTAATCTGTGCTGCTCTGGAAACAAAGTCACAATTCTTTATTTTCTAACCCTTGCGATAGTATTGTATGTAGATAAATTCCAGTAATATTACACCATTAACTGGCTACACATCTCTGCTTCCTGAAGCAATCTTTCCACATCAACCTTCAAGTGAAACTGGTAATACTATGAACACTTCTACTGCTTATTTTATTAGTGTACTAGGGCTGGAGAGCTAAATGGACTATTAACCAAATCCTGACTACTTGATATTTAAATGGAATGAAACACAACGTTACTTTTGAATAACCAATTTTTTTATTTATTATTTTTTTTTACATTAGCTCACTGAATAATCTCCAGTAGGGGTGACCAAGCTTCCTCGCCCTATAAGCCACCTACCAAATGTGAGATCATTAAGATCAGGACCTTGCCTGATTTTTTTCTATAGCTATGCACAGGCCAGAGAACTAGTAACAAATGCTGATGCATTTAAAAAAAAAAAAAAAAGGAAATCGTCACAGAAGAGGAGAAAACAAAAGTGCCTATACACTACACAAAGAGCATGGACTCTAGCAGGCAACTGAACGGTGGAATCGGGCACAAAGAAGAATGAACTGCGGCAGGGAGAGGATGGAAACAAAAGTGCACTGGATGTCTAGCAGAAGAAAAGCACGCGGACCCATGCATAGGAAGTTGTATATGCAATTATTTCCACCAGAGAGAGAACAGAGCAAGCACATTAAGGAAGGTGTCCTAAAAACGTAAGAGATATTTAGACAGGAAACTCAAGCTTTATGAATTCAGAAATTCAGCATCTCTCTCGTAGGCTTAAAGATGGTTTTGTTATAAGCAGGAAGCACAACTGTGTTTCTCCAAGAATAATATTCTCAGCAGAGATAAGAACCTAAAGCATCTAGCTACTGCTGAAATTAGCTCCAGCATGTTTTACGAGAAGAACCTGTTCACCGCAAATCACTTAAAAAAATAATAAATACATGCTGGTTTATGGTAGAAGATAATGTTTTCTCAAGAGGACAAGCAGAGTCCAATTTCAACCAGAGCTGATGACAGAAAAGATCACATCTTATACTAGCATTTACCAGCTGCAGTATCCCCTAAACAGAGGCCCACAAGGATTCCTAATTACTTTTTTCTGACCTGCTTCTTTTAGCCAAAGGTCACTTAGTAAAACCACCATGGTATTCGTGTATTTGGGAACTTAATATATACATCTTAATTAGATCTCACAATATCAGAATTTAATTTTAATGGCTCATAATAATGACACATGTTCGCATATGTCCATGCATTTGTGTGCACACTCAAACATACAAATAAACAAATTCTGGTGGTCAAAACTCCCTAAGCAGAAAGTTTGTTTGGCACATGCTGAACGTAAGCAACAGTGTAAAAGCAGTTCTTAATGATGCAGAGGTATTAAATTACTGCTGACTGAAAATTTGCATGGCATTTCAATTAGATTATTTTTAAGAACAAATAAAATTATGTTTTAGTTATGGCTTTTTACATAATATATGGGGGTAAGGTAGAAAAAAATAATCAGTTTTTAGACATTTCTAGGAAAAAATATTTGTAAAGCAGTTTTTAGATACTTCTAGCACAAATTATTTGTCTCCACACTGTGAACTAAAAGTCCAAACTGAAAGTGATGCGTGGCATAAAGAAAGTTGGCAAACAGAAGGAAATCAAGAAAAGTAGCCTCAAAGTAGTGATATGAAGAAGACAGAGTCATGTGAGGCAAGGCTGGTGAAGTTTTGAAAATTCACTGATTTCCTCACTGAAAAACAATGTGAAAACTGAAAAAACAAAGAATAAAACTAAAAACTTGTATGCACATTAAGAGGCATAACACCAATTGAAACCCTTGACTTGTAAAGAACTTCTGAAGCATACCTTTTTCTTGAAGAAAGGGGAGAAAGCATCAAATTAATACCAGTATTCCTGTCTCAAAAGGCTGAGCAGGCTGTTGTAAGCAAAACCAATACTTGCATTTTAAAAATTGGCAGTGTCAATGGTTCAAAAGCTTTCCCACTGCTTACCTCATTGCAATGTTGTAAGACTCTGGATGAATACAAGTTTGATCCAAAGGATTGGGCTGTCGCGAGGCACATGGTGTTGGTTTGCTCTTCTTCTTACCCCGTGCACCTGCTTTAGGCAAAAGTGCATGACTTCCGAGTTCAGTTTTCTTACTACTGTCAGAAATCAAAAATGGACATGTCATTCTTAACGAACAAGATCCTAGCCCAGTGCCTACACATGAAAAACACAAGCAGACTTTTATATAATGTTAATTCTTTTAAAAAAACCAAAAAAACTCCCCCAAACCTCTAAAATGTCATTGTGGGTGAAACTTACCAATACAATTATAGCATAAAAAATGTAACATACCAATGCATGCATAAATTAATTCAAAACATAAACAAACATTGGGAAGGGATTCCATTCTTTGTCAAAATTCTGTCATTGTGGCAAGATTATAAGGAAAATGCTACAAAACCTATTGTAACCTTTGTAATCTGGATAGTATCTTCTGTCTGTAGAATGGGGACAGCTGCATCTACCTACTCGATAAAGATGTTGTGAAGACACTTTCATACATAACTGTTGGTTCATAGACTACATCATTCTAAATTTGAAAAACTTATGAACAAAACATTCTATTCATACTGTCTTTAGGTAAGCAAATTTCATCTCAAGCATATATATGGCACAAAGAAAGTCTGTGAATGCTGAAACATTGCAAGTCATTAAACAACTTTTTTTACTTTCTATAGTTAAATTTCTGAAGATTTCTGTTCAAACACAGGCCGGGTCAAAATAAAAACAAAAATCAAATAAAAAGAACTCAGACCAAGATTTGCTTTGAACGGAAAAAAGCTAAAGGTCATGTCTACCGCTATTTCAGAACTCATAAACCATTTTTGCAGAAGTATCTTAATCCAGCTTTCCTTAAAACTTAGTGGATACATTACTGACTCCTAGTCAGCATTTGGATTGGGCTTTTTAAAAATTTTCTTCAATTGGCTAGATGTGTGTGTAGCATATTTACAAGTGGCACACTTCTTCCCTTAAAGTTCCCCTTAAGTAAAAAAATGCTTAGGATACAGTAAAGGCATCAAATGACTCCTACTGACAAAGGCTTCTTTCTCCCGTCTTTTTTCATTTGTTTTTATTTCCTGAATCACAAGGGATTCCTGTTTTTGCAGGACAAAACAGAAGGCGCTGAAGGACCCAGAACTAGCACTCACACTTCAAGCTCTACCTACGCATGGACCGTAGGCAGAAATGCAGACATAATGTTCTTTTTCCATATCAATTTCTATAACAACTATTTGTTAACTTCCAAGTACAAAGCACAAAAACTAATTCACACATCACTCTAGCCATCAACATTAGAGAAGACAAAAACTAAACGTTCTCAAAGTCCATTTCAAAAACGTTTGATTTTGCCACCTGGGCCCACAAGAAATGTTGTGGAGGCAATGATTAGAGCTTTATTTTGGCCTCAAACTCCAAAGTTATAGGAGATTTTTCAAGTTATACAGTGTTCTCAAGTTTTATGGAATCTGACTAAGATCAGAAGCATGTTCCAGCAAGGAAAAAAAAAAAATAAAATACAGTGTTCTTAAACATTTCACAGTGAACTTCTCGGGGGGGGGGGGAAAAAGGGGTGAGGGCCTTCTTCACCA